GTTGTATGCTACCATAGCCAGTTCTAACTAATGCTGCTGTAAGTGAACAAGTCAAAGTGCATTTAGACTATGTAGACAAACTGTGTGAATGTTGTAGACATGCCACTTGATCGGTATAGTAGGGTACTGGCCGGACATATCCATTTCTAGAAAACTAGGTGCCGGTCAGACACATGCTGACGTAGGATACCATTAGGGGATTCTAGTGCAGATAAAGTCTGCCTTACTCATGAGCGGATCATTCGTCAATGAGGAGAGAGTTGACGATGGTAGATTAACACGTGCACGATCAAGTAGGATCCCGTATGTGTTCAGGACCCTAGACGAGGGAGAAGAAAGACGGCTTCGTGCCGAACGCAGAGCCCGTGCTTTCGCAGCATCAAGAGAAGCAGCAAACCTTGCAGCTAGGGAACAGGCTGCAGCAGCAGCCAGGGCAGCAGCCATGACTTCTTCAGCAGCATCCTCCGCTGCAACTTCTGCTGCGTTCTCGTCTGGACCCCAGTTTGGAATGCCAACAGGGTCCACGGGCACTTCCAGGTCAACAGGTTCTAGACAATCTACAAGTCAAATGGCGGGCTCGCAGTACAGCCCATTGACTCCTCGCGAAAGGGAGATGAGAGAGCTCCAACAGGTCGAAAGGATCCGTCCACAGTTAGAGAAGGATCTGAAAGAGGCTATCGATAGAGAAAAAGAGATAAAGAATAGAACAGCCAGGCTTGAAACGTTAGAGTCTGACAAGGCTGACTTGGAGGGCTTAGACGATTCAGGAATGAATGAGCCCATGAAAGTGTTGAGGAACAACATGTTGTCGCTGCATGCGCATGTGGACAGCAAATTGGACTTCATGCAGAGCACTTTGGACCAGATCCTGGACATCCTAACAAGGCCAGGATTTAGGCCACCAGCACAATCGCCGTTGCCGTTATCGGCGATGTCAGGTCCTTTTCCAGTTCAAGCTGGTTCACAACCAAGTGGTACATCTGCAGCTGACGCACAGACTATTGCATCTTCTTCTTCGGGTCCAGTGGTGATTGCTGCATCACCACAACAACCTGTTCAGTCAACTGGACAGCCGCAAGGTCAATGGTATCCCAAGACCCCAATGAAACCACCTCTTGCCTTCTCAGGCGAGAGAAAGGACGAGGAACTCAACACATGGTTGAGGACGGTCCCGGTTTGGGTGAAGGCCAAAAGGACCTTGCCAGAGGATGAGGTGGTGACTGCGGCATCTTACCTAGAGGGTAAAGCAGCCAAGTGGCTAGATAGTGTAGTTGTGAAGGTCGGGTACGGGCAACGCATGGTGGATTGGGCTAAGTCTTTGACCTTAGACCAATTCATGGAGATGGTAGAAGCTCGATGGCATAACCCACAGGAGGCTCAAAAGGCCACTGATGCCATTAATAAACTTGATTACCGTGGAGGGCCTGATCCTCGTCCCGAGCATCAACTACAGTGACCAGTTCCTGTTAACAACTTTTGTTAGATGTCTTCCAGAGAACATCAGGAACTTACTGGCCAGTGAGGCACGCACCGAGTACCACTCGTTTGAGACATTGCCTAGAAAGGCCTTAGACTTAGAGGCAACACTAGGCAATGCTCAACCCACCTCAGGGAACGAYTCAAAGAAGAAGAAGAGTCCCCAGGAGTGGAAGAAGAAGGGGGCGAAGTTGATGATGGTTAAGTCAGATGGGACCCAAACTGAAATCGACGAGCTCTCTGACCTGGTGGACTATACAGAGTGTGACGGCGAGGAGGTAGCTGAGGGTGCACCCTCGCCGCGGTAGTAAAGACTAAGGCAGGTGGCCGAGGGAAGGGCCAACCTAGGAGTCAAGGGAAGGCCGCCTCCAATCAGTCCAAACAGACTGAGTGGGTCAAGGCAGGTCTTGACCAGGACGTGTGGCGTGACCGCCGATCGCGTGGCGCTTGTATCAACTGCGGTGAATACGGACACACGCAGTGGAAGTGCCCGAACGCTAAGGTTACGCAAAAGGTTGCACCAAAGATTGGGGCAACTATTTCCCAGGCTTCTAGCTCGGGAAACGCGTAGGGCCAGTGGAAGTGATAGTGGCTTCTACTCAAGATGAAGTGGGAATGATACCCTCCTCACTTCATGACAAGGCCGAAGCTAATGACTCCTTAGCTACCCCGCAGACGCATCTAGACCAAACTATGCTCTGTACGTTAGATGTGTCCGAGGCCTTAGAAGACTTAGAAGGCGAGTGGTCAAACAAGGACCCTCGTGAGTCTTGGGCGGCGCTAAAGAAGGGTCCTAGAGGGGAACATTTCGTTGTGGAAGTGGATGTAGGAGGCTGCAAATGCGGTGCCTTCATAGACACAGGCTCCACGCGAAATTACATAAGTCGCGACTGTTTGGAAAGGCTGCACCTACAGGACCGGGTACAGCACCTTAGTAGACCAGTAGCATCTACTTTGGCCAACAAAGAGCGCATGATTGTCACAGACTACCTCAAGGACGCAGTCTGTACCTTCTCCTATGGAGGAGGTGAGCTTAACCATAAGATCTCGTTCTTGGTTAGTAACGGCTTGCCATTTGACATGTTGCTAGGCATGTACTACCTCAATATTGCTAAGCCCCAGTTTTACTGGGATAAAAAGGTGCTCAAACAGAAGTTGCCCGATGGCCGAACTTTTAGAATGACTAAGTTCAAGGCCAGTAGTATTATAGATACATATGGCTGCTTGTGCGCATCTGCGCTCTACAATTACTATAAGCAAAACCAAGAGGAAGGTTTGTACCTTGTTTACGTCTCTGAGAAGGGGGAGGCCGTTAAAACACCCCCGGAGATAAGACGCGTCGTTGCTAAGTTCCCTGATCTGTTTCGGAGCCCACAGGAGTTGTTGATAGGGAAGTCGTCCACGCTATAGAAATCATTCCAGGGAGTAAGACCCCAAAGGGAAGGATCTATAGAGTTAGATGAACTTCGGAAGCAACTCAAGGAGCTGACAGAAACGGGATGGATTCGGCCTAGTACTTCCCCTTACGGATCACCTGTGCTATTCGTACCAAAGAAGGGGGGTACTTTGAGGATGTGCATTGATTATCAATGCCATCACGGTGAAAAACGCAGAGCCTCTACCCTGCATAGACGACCTATTGGATAGAGTGCAGGGATGCAAGTACTATACGAAGATAGACTTCAAATCCGGATATCATCAGATCGCAATAAGACCTGAGGACCGGCACAAGACAGCTTTTCAGACTAGATATGGTCTGTATGAGTTTGTAGTGATGCCTTTCGGTCTTTACAATGCGTCGGGTACATTCCAGCACGCTATGAATCGGATCTTCCATGACCATTTAGATAAGTTTGTCGTAGTCTATCTAGACGACATTCTGATCTTTAGTAAGTCTGCCGAGGAGCACGCACAACATGTTGAGACAGTTCTCTCACTCCTACGACAGCACAAGTATAAGRTCAACYTAGAGAAGTGTGAATTCGGTCRCACTAAGATTCTATACTTGGGTCATGAAGTATCCGCGGAGGGAATTAGGCCGGAAGATGCGAAAGTGGCTAGTATTCGAGACTGGCCACGACCTCAGACAGTTACTGAGGTCAGATTTTTCTTAGGAATGTGCGACTACTATAGGAACTTCGTAAATAACTATTCTACAGTCGCCTCTCCTTTGACAAATCTAACTCGACTTGACACACCATGGGACTAGAGTGATGAGTGCGAGGGTGCTTTCAAGAGATTGAAGCATGCACTCATGAATCACGAAGTTCTCATGGTTCCCGATCCGCAGAAGCCATTCATAGTGACCACTGACGCAAGCCAATACGGCATTGGCGCAGTGCTGGCTCAGCAAGATGGGAAAAAGTTGAGACCGATTGAGTATATGAGTAAGAAGATGACATCGAAGAAATTGGCTAAGTCCACCTACGAAAGGGAACTCTACGCTCTCTACAAAGCACTTGTCCATTGGAGATACTTCCTTTTGGGAAGATTCTTCTATCTGAGGACTGATCATCAGACCCTCAAATGGATCAAGACTCAACAGGCTCTTTCTGATGTACTCAAGCGATGGATTGAGGTCATAGACCAATATGACTTCAAGCTTGAGTACCTGAAAGGAGAGTACAACAAGGTTGCAGACGCGCTATCCCGTAGAGCAGACTACCTAGGTGCGCGAGTTTCCGAATTTGGCGTATCTAACGAAGTAACTCAATCATTGGTGGGAGCCTATCAGGAAGACCCTGTCACGATGGACATCATCCGCAAACTTCAAGCAAAAGACAAGGCCACAGAAAGTGAGTTTGTGATGGTGGATGGGCTAATTGGTAGTTCCATCTAGTGAACAGTTGCGTAGTTTATGTTTAGGCGAATGTCATGACGCAACTGGGCACTTTGGCTACAAGAAGACGAGTGCTAACTTAGTACAACGATTTTGGTGGCCCAGAATGCTAGATGACGCAAAGAAGTATGTTGAGACTTGTCAGGTCTGTCAGCGGGACAACCCGCGAACTCAAGCACCGCTTGGGTTATTGAAGCCTTTACCCATTCCTGATGGTCCAGGATTGAGTGTTTCCATGGATTTCATGGACACCCTTGTGACCAGCAAGAGTGGTAAGAGGCACATTTTCGTCATCATTGATAGATTCACCAAGTACGCTAGACTAATACCAATGCCAGAGACAGCCAGGACGGAGTATGTCATCAAGTTGTTCAAGGACAACTGGGTAAGGGACTTTGGTTT